CTCGAGTAAACATTCTTGCCAGATCTGTAATTTTGTTTAGATATAAATTTTGTTTAGTTAAAAAGAATTACTAATACGTTTTTTCGAGTTCTTGTAAAATTTACAAAAGAACTTAGATATATACTGAATCATGCTTAAAGTTTACTAATTGGTGAAACCGATTATTAGTACGTTGAATAAAATCGATGAGAAATGTAACAGTGCAGCGTTTCTAATCGACGGCTGTTGGATGTGCCTGCTGGGTTCTTATTACATAGAGCAATAGAACGCTTTAATCAAGAAAATTATGTTGACAAAACGTAAATGCACAAATTAATAAAATCAGTGATCGTGGAGCAACATTGCGATAAACGGCAATGATAAGAAAGAATATTATTTTTATGTCAACCTTACGATTAAATATAAAATATGGTATTTTAACATTTGATTTACTTAAATATGAATTTAACACAAAAAATCAGATAACATAATCAAAATTAATTAAATTAACACATATGTTACATTTTTAACACAAAAACTTTAACAATGTCCATTTTTAACAAAAATACACAAAATTTTTTACTGTGTAACGTTATGCGTGCTGCATACGGTGTAAATCGCATTTATGCATTTTACACATAGCGGATATTCATTAATTATTGCAAATTGATACAAATTATATGCGTACATTAAATATATCCAATATTTATTGCTAATTCAATGGATAAAAAAATTCTTCTTAAAATCTCTAAAAATCATACCGTTTGGGTCATTAAGAGTTCTTACGAAAGCGAACACACTAGATATCGTTAATGTACGCCATTGTACTCTTTTTGCGTCGAATTTTTTATCTTACATCGTTACTTTATAAGTAAACCGTCGTGACCACTTCGAAAATTTTTCAGTACAGTTATTGTTCTATATGTATATAACTCAATAATAATAATATTAATTATTTAAACTCCGTTTTTACAGATTATGGAGATTCACGCCGGTCAAAATAGTATATGTTTCGAATAGAATGTATGTATATGATAAAAGAACGGCGAAAAGAAAACGATGAGTATCTTTCATAAAAAGCAGAACATCTACAACGAATTGATTTCTTTATAAACAAATTATGGACATCGATTATACTAGCATAAACTGAACGTTGCAATATCATATATTCGCCATTCAAAATATTTTACTGCGGAATATGTTGCGTTTAATCTGACTGATCAATCATATTTTGCTTATCTACATTACAGTGACAAATTTTTAATTAGTAATGGCGTCACTTTCAATCAGTTAAAATTATTAACATCCGCCGCTCGCAGCAGGTATAACAATTTGTCATGTTTTAGCTTGACAAATTGGAACATTAACTGTAAAAACAAAGTTTATCATGAAAATACATATTTTAACATACATTGTATTTAAATCGAAAACTTATAGGTAAAATAAAAGACATGCTCAATCGAGAAACACCACTCGTGATCAATATTTCAAATCAACGCAGCTGGTCGGCGATAATCTACATTATCCGTTAAATTAAAGATTGACTGATTCATATACTTATTGCTAGAATTACCTAGCACAATTCATCGTTCGCGCTGGCGGCGATCACTTTGCCAACACTAAATTTACACTCAATCTATAATGACATGGAGCCATTATCGTGAAAAGCGCTTCGCGGAACGAAAAGCTTCATTTGATCTGGTCCTAACAATTTTCGACACGACGTTTATACCACCAGCAATTGGGGGATGCACCGTCCTGCGGGCACGCATGATGCAATCTGAAAAAGAGCGGACTCCGATCAAACCATTATCGTTTATCTTTGTTGATTTTATGACGATCAGTCAGATAGATACTGGCTTTAATGATAAGGCCACGAGACTACCGAAAAACGACGCGCCTTAAATTGGCTGTGGAATCATGGAAAGCGTTTTCGCTCGCGAGAAGCAAAACGAAAAATAGAAAAGCTAAGACCGGAAACTGGTATAGCGTGCACAATATTCATACAACAGGGATTCCCGTATTTAATTTGAATAATAACGCCTCGGATTCCTGTGCTGATAAGTGGATGGCACCGCGGTCATCAATGTCACACCTAATCTACGTCACTGCTGCGTAATAAAATAAAGTTACCGTATAAATATAAGTCCGAGATTATGTTGTATATATGTATAAATGTATATATATTTCAGTAGTGCGCGATGCTCGTTTTTATCGAAAAGAATGGATTTTACGGTCGCAAGCCGCTTGTCAAGCACTCACTGACGATCGAATTGCCGAATGATGGAATCAAAACACGAGCAACGCCGACGTTATCTCCGTTCAATCCAACACTGGAACAGACTGCTGTCGTGTTGTCTTGTCGAGCGTACTTGGAAATTGTTGGCACAACTCTTTGCCTCTTTACCTCAAAACAACTGTAGCTGCGGCATGCATATGTATACGCGTCACATTATACGATTTTTAGTCTTTTCGGTTTAGTTACAAGATGCAAGTCGGAGCCAAAACGACTTGTATCTTCATTTCGATGGCCGAAGATTTCTAACACCACTAACATAGGCACGAAACATTTATATATTTCTCATTATATAATTTTTGCATTTTAAGGCAAATTATTAGTGCTAATTATATCACGACATTTGCCTCCAATTAAGAAGCAATGTATTTAAAAAAAATTTGGAGCTCTTGTAGAGGTCTATGTATATAAAAACAAACTCAGATATATTTAATTATATGTAAAATTATATATCTTAAAACCAAATTTTAAAAGACGATTGATGTTTTAAGGGACAAATTTTTATATCTTTGAAAAGAAATCTAGAGTAGAATAAACAGATAATGCATGTACACCGGATTCTACTGGATACAATGAGATTACATGAATTGAAATAAATTTAACATGCTTAGATGTCAATATGTGTTTTACTTCAATATAATATTTTATTTAATAATAGTATTATTTAAATAAACATAAAATATTATATTGATAATAATATTGAGTACTGTTTTTACACAAATATTCGACATAATTATAAATAAATCGACAATAAATGAAAGCATGTGATTAAAAATTTTCTGACAATGGATTTGCAATACTAATAAAGCTATATGTGTATAAGGTACATGCGCGAATACGTCACACACATACGTAAGATGATTCCTCAATTAGAATGTCTTTACGCTATTGCATTTGTCAGATAGAAACTTTAATGTCACAACCAATAATATATCAGCGTCGAATTCAAATGCGTTGTTGTATCAACTTAATTATAAAAAATTACATGTATAAAGATATAACCAAAAATATATACTATTATTAAATAATGCCAGTATTAAATACATAATATAACCGAAAATTAAATCGTAAGAGTAAGTTTTCTTTTCAGGAAAATTGAATTTAGAAACTGGAAAAATATTTTTAAAACATAAATAAATAATGTATTGGTTTTATTTGCATATAAGAGTTATTTATGTACGAAATGCAAAAAACTTATGGTGATTTCGTTTTGGAAGCTATTGAGCCAAGATTAAAACTTATTTGCATTTTGATATCATAGGTATATTTCACATATATATTATATATATGTAATAATGGTTAAAGGTATATTTATGCATGCGTTATACAGGGGAGACCGGGGCAAAGTCGTTACTATTTTTTCGGTGTTAATTTTTAACAACAAAACAAATAATTTTAATGAAATGTGGTAGACCGTTGTAAAGATTGAACTCTTGGCTACAAAATTTATAAGGACATTTTTGGTCTACATCGTTTTGTTCAACTGGTATAGAATGAAAAACGACAAGAGTGCAAAAATTGAAATGCCAAAATGGCCGGGGCGGAGTCGTCACTCCATTCTCGGACTGAATTTTAAATAAAAATTCATAATTTCGATCATGAAAAATGATAGGATACATTTTAGTAATTATTTTTTAATAGAAAAATGGAAACATTAATTAAAAACACGATGGCGGAAAATAATTACAAGAAAAGCGCACACACTTATGTGCCCTACGCTCGCTCGAAACGCACTGTTCATCGTCAGTTCTATTCTGTCATCTCTGAGCACACGCAGCACATATTATCTAAGTCCTCGCCGGAATTCGACCACTGCTGCTTCTTTGACTTTGATTTTTGCCCAAAGCCTCCATGATATGGCTTGGTGACGACTTGGCCTCGGACACAGGTAAGTTTGGTCGCTTATGAAATATTAGAAATCAACGAAAATAACAAAATTTCACTGGATTCGTGTTCAGCATGCATTACTCTTCAGAATCACTTATCTCGAGATTCGGAGAGAAAATAATATTTAAAATATTTTAAATTTTTGACGCGCAAAAAATTTTATTTTTGATTTAATTTTACTCCGAAAACACGTTTATTTTAATGAAAATAACAAAAATCACAACATGGCATATAATCTCACTAAACTCCGTTGGTCATATGAGCACCATAAACAGCGTTTACAATATTAATGGCGAGTTCACACAACATGCAGATTTCGAGATAATTGTAGTGACGATTCCGCCCCGGTCTTCCCTATTTTGTTAAAAATTAGGGGAGACCAGGGACAAAAGTAACGCGTGATAAACGTAACAAACGCGATTACTAAAAAGATAATATTCCTGTACGAATCTATCTGCTGTTATATAATGTCTTTTAAATTCCTTCCTCACCTCAGTAGCGCTCGAAGCTCTGTCATGAGAAGTTGTGTGTCTGTTGTGTCGATGCCATAAAAATACGGTCAAAGTATAGTAGAGGGTTAGCAACGTCTGTTTAAAATAATTAAAAATGTTCAGAACTATTTAAAAAAAGTTTTTTTAAAAACTAAAACATTACGCTACATTGATTATGTTTATTTTTTTTATTTTACCTTGTTAAACTCAATCTTCAGCTCTGTTACAACCAGCCCTAGGAGTAGGGACAATCGTAACAAATCTCGGTCTTTGTAAAATTTGATTTTTCTACGTAATTATAAAATGTGGATAAATTTTATGTATACTATAATGTAAGTAAAAAATGTATTTACCTTATGAAAGAGAAAAAATTTTTATATATAAACAAGCAAATCAAAGATATCAACATAAATTAGAAAATTGTTACGTTTGTCCCTGGTCTCCCCTATTACACATATGTATGTGAGTATACAAGTATAATCGAGAGAGGCGATTAAAGTACAGGTGAAGTCATTTCTCGGAATATATATCTCGATAGTAGTTATATTGATACAGGGCGAAGCTAATTACATAATTAATTACATAATTACCAATTTTATTATGAGATTCGACCAGAACAATGTCTTTTGTATCTTCAACACTCAATATTTTTTATACATAACTTTTCCTTTTTTTATTTACTAATATTAATACCACAAAATCTACAGAAACTGCTTTTTTGTCATTTTATTGTATTCGAGTGTAAAAGGATTTTTATACTCGGAACGGGAATAATAGATCCGCGATATTTTCATTTAACTGTTATCTGTACATGTTAGAATAATACATCCAACTGACATAGACAGATGACAATTGCAGATTTAAAAAAAAAAGATGTAAATATTTTCAGACATTGTATTTCATTCACAAGTTAAGGCTCCTGTTCACTTACTACAGTCATCTTGAATTGATGACGTCAGAAACGAGAAAATTAGGTATTATGAAAATTCTTGCGACAAACATTAGAGTAAAAATGTTTTTCAATAAGATAGCGTTTGTAATCGATAGAATAGACTTGTAAGATGTATCAAAAACTCCTTTTTTGTTTGGGTAATTCACGTATGTCCAATTGAATCAATGCCTAATCAAAAATGAAAACAAGCCGTTTAGCAGCTGCCAAATTAAAATAAAAATATTTGCTTTTACATATTAAATTATAACAAAATAGTAATCTTCGGTATATTTTAACACTACGACAATTATTTTAATTAAAAAAACATTACGTTGAAACAAAAAATACGCTGTAAGTCGCAAAACTAATTCAGTTTTTTAATGTCATTTTTCGCGCCTTTTAGTTCACAATTTTGCCAGGTATTTGTATATTGTCAACGCGGACTTTTGGCAATCGAGCTAGCAGGAACCTTTAAGATCTGGGCTCGGATGACCAATGAGGCCACTTTATAATTTCATTATATAAGGCATCTCCAGGACTGTCAGTCCTGGGTACAACTTGTCGGTGACCTAACAGTTTATAGTCAAGCGCAATTTTTCCGTTTCCTACGCCGATCTTTATGAGCTCTTTCGCGGCATTTAATTGCGTTTCCGGCGGTACAAACGAAGTGAAATCACCGATGAACGCAATACCGATACTTATGCGCTTATAGAGATCAAAGTGGACACCGGTGTGATTCCAGCTTCTGCCAACATATGCGAGGCCGTCGCCTCCGACAAGGAAATTGTAGGCGATATCCACTAAATCTCTTTTATCCTGCATAATTCTTAATTCGTTTGCACACTCTGCTAGCGTCGTACAGAATGCTGTCTCAGTGTGACAAATAATTACACGTGATACTGGCAGTTTCAATTTTTCTAGGGGTCCCCGAGGCGGCCGTGCACCCCATTCGTCCCGCTCGACAATGCGAAACTCTGTCTCGTTATTACCTGCAAGTCATGAAAATAAAATACATATCATACAAAAAGTTCAAGATATACCATGCAGACAAATTTATAGTTAGAAACTCTTTAATTTAACACCGAATTTAGCAATCTCAATCAGACCCATATGTCAACTTCAACATTAAAATCTAAAATATTACTCTCATATATAAGAATGCAAAAAGTTTTAAAATATATGACTCGTGGAAAGTAAAAAGAGACAGGCTTTTAGATAGACGAATAAATAAAATAAATACAAATATATAATTTATATAGGAGACAGATTTTAGGTTTGCAATTGTGATAGATACCATTTACTTCGTGTCGCGCTTGCATAACAAAATATTTTCTAGATGGACAATTACCATCAGGGGAAGTAGGAATATCCGATGTGGTTGGTGTGGTTGGTGTGGTTGGTGTGATTGGTGTGGATGTTGTGGACGCATCGTCCGGATCACGAGTCACTAAATGTACAGTTATGAATACTATAATACCCAGAAGTATTAAAGCTACGCACAATAAAGCCATATGCCATTTCCATATCCAGAGCCATTGTGTCACTAAAATAATTATAAAAAGCTATATTAGAACGACAATTTTACGAGCTACTTAATGTCGTTTGATGAAATTCTTTCGCAATTATTATAACGGGTAGCACTGTGTATGAAAGGGATATTATAATTACATAAAGCCCCTCGAGTAAAGCATTATAATTCTTGTTGATGTCACTTTTCTGCTAGTTTATTCACAATCGAGTAAACAATTTGCGGCATGCAATATCTTGCCAATCTATGTCAGATAGAGTGACACATATATACTGTGAGATAAAAATAGCTTTTTTATATTTACCTTTAATTCTTGTGCCGCAACTAAAGTGTAACAATTTTCAATCTAATAATTGTCGACATTAAAACTATTTTTTGGAATAGTTGTGACAGGACCATTAGTCGAAGTAGTCTTAGGCTCCTGGGCACCGCGGCCATATTGAATTTCTTGCTATCGATGCGAGAAATTACCCTATTTTATGTTGCAGTATTTTTCGAAATAAAAAGACATTTCAATAAAAAATTACTATAGATCGTTTCAGCACACTTCTAAAATTTAACGGATACTATCCTTTTCTTTGGACAATAAACAAACAGCTATAAAACGAAGCCTAAACATACGGAAAAACAAGCCATTTGACGAGTGGAGAATGTTTCCTTCCGCATATGTATTTCTTGCAAATCTTACCATACGTTAAATTTCACGAGTTTCACGAATACGTTAAACGTTATAGCACAACTACAGAGCGAATAATAAAGAAATTTAACGCAACGCAAAATAGGTTGTCAACATGTCACAAGACAGAATTCTCCATTGGAGAGAGTGAGAGGAGAGAGTTCTTATTTCTGCCGCGACGGTACGGTGCCACCGTCAACGCAGAGTTCTCGGCTCAGGGACCAGGAGCCTTAATGATATTTGTAACATATCGGCTATTCTTCCGAAAACGTTCATGCTCTGGTTTAGATACGCAATACAAAGTGTTGAAATGCATAAATATAAAATGTAGAGAAAAGAATTTGATTCTATAATGTCTCTGAAATTACCAAGTAATTATTGCGTTCTACTAATGTATTTAAAATTTTTAGGACGAAGTATATTTTCTTTTATGAGGAAAAATATTAGAGTAATGTCTTGTTGCGATGATATCGATAAAAAGTATCTACATTATATTCAATTTATAATATACTTAGCATATTTATATTATATAATTCAAATTTCGAAGGTTCCGTTTATAATTTTTTATATAAAACTGTATTTTATATTTTAAAACTGTTGTTGAAACTTATGAGAGATCTGTTCCTTTTAGTTATCCGGTGATTTTATGCTTAAACATACGAAAAGAAACAAGTATAAAAAAACTATTAAAACCAAAAAGCAACGGGTCTAAATAATCTATTGCGTTGAACGATTAACTATTACCTTTATTTAATTTAGTATTTTGCGGAAAGATGCATCCGTTTGGAGCTTCGTTATCTTTACTCGTCGACAAATGTGAGGCATTGTCGCAGGCGCTGCTGGCGTCATGTTTACTCGCATCCTGATTAGGAGTAGGATTCGTGTAAACGATCTGCGTAACAGGACAATTATTGTAGCAGGTCTTGTTAACCAGACGCACATTCTTCGAGTACTGCACGCGGACATCGCCGAAAGCCGGCTGATCAGCGTTTGGTAGGACGATATCGCCATTCGTGGTGGCGAAGGCTGGTTGCCGCTGAACGACGGTCGACGATACCGGCGGCAGATTCGTGATCCAGCCGCCTTCTTCGACATCCGTCTTCTCTTCTTCGTCGTCGTCGTCGTCTACATCACTGCACTCTGTAGAGAAATCTCCAATGCTACCATTGCCCGGAGCGATGATCGCGGTTTCCCTCGCCGAGCGCTCAGTCTCGCCGGAAAACCTGTCGACCGCGTGATTCTCGGCAGACACAACAGTACCATTCACGTGGTCCTGCTCTCTCTTACCCTGGTGATCACCGTCGAGCGCTTGCTGTTGCTGTTGCACCAATACCACCGTATCCATGAGCTACGCGAAAAATTCAATTTTTTTATATCGGATACGTCATAAATTCGATACGCCGCATGCAGCAGAATATGCTCGTCGAGAAATAACTGTTAGAGTCTTTAGATACTTATATTCGTCAGGTCGCTACGAGATCCTCTTTTACCATTAGACTATAACAGTCTGGGTTAGTTCTTTGTCTCTTGTTTCTCTCATATCAGATAATAAGGGAAAGATTAGTTTGAAAACGTAATTCTTTTTTATTAATATAAGATTTTTTAAACAGTTTAACCGTTTTAACCGTTTGCGAAGAACTACGTCTGTTATCTCAAAAAAATGTTTTCAAAGATGGTCGTTTGATACATTCAAAACACTTCAGTAAACATTTTTGCCAGATCTGCAATTTTGTTCAGATATAAAATTTTGTTTAGTGAAAAAGAATTACTACGTTTTTTCGAGTTCTCTATCCGATGTGTATTGCTAATTCAGTGGATAAATTCTTCAATGTCTTCAAAATGTCTAAAAATCATACCGTTTGGGTCATTAAAAATTCTTACGAAAGCGAGCACACTAGATATCGTTAATGTACCCCATTATACTCTTCTTGCGTTGAATCTTTTATCTTACATTGTTACTTTATAAATAAACCAATTTACAAATTTTCCACTACAATTATTGTTCTATATGTATATAACTCAATAATAATAATATTAATTATTTAAACTCCGTTTTTACAGATTATGGAGATTCACGCCGGTCGAAATAGTATATGTTTCAAATAGAATGTATGTATATGATAAAAGAACAGCGAGAAAAGAGAAAACGATGAGTACCTTTCATAAGAAGCAGAACATCTACAACGACTTGATTTCTTTATAAACAAATTATGGACATCGATTATACTAGTATAAACTGAACGTCGCAATATCATATCTTCGCCGTTCAAAATATTTTACTGCGGAATAAGTTGCGTTCAATCTGACTGATCAATCATATTTCGCTTATCTACATCACAGTGACAAATTTTTAATCAGTGATAACGTCACTTTTAATCAGTTAAAATTATTGACATCCGCCGATCACAACAGGTATAACAATTCGTCATGTTTTAGCTTGACAAATTGGAACATCAACTGTAAAAACGAAGTTTATCATGAAAATACATATTTTAACATACATTGTATTTAAATCGAAAACTCATAGGTAAAATAAAAGACATGCTCAATCGAGGAACATCACTCGTGATCAATATTTCAAATCGACGCAGCTGGTCGGCGATAATCTACATTATCCGTTAAATTAAAGATTGACTGATTCATATACTTATTACTAGAATTACCTCGCACAATTCATCGTTCGCGCTGGCGGCGATCACTCTGCAACACTAAATTTACACTCAATCTATAATGACATGGAGCCATTATCGTGAAAAGCGCTTCGCGGAATAAAAAGCTTCATTTGATCTGGTCCTAACAATTTTCGACACGACGTTTATACCACCAGCAATTGGGGGATGTACCGTCCTGCGGGCACGCATGATGCAATCTGAACAAGAGCGGACTCCGATCAAACCATTATCGATTATCTTCGTTGATTTTATGACACTCTGACGATCAGTCAGATATATAGATACTGGTTACAATGATAAGCCAACGCGACTACTGAAAAACGACGCGCCTTAAATTGGCTATGGAATCGTGGAAAGCGTTCTCGTTCTCGCTCGCGAGAAGCAAAACGAAAAATAAAAAAGCTAAGGGCCACTTCAACCAAACTCCGATTAACTTAATAATTGATTAGTTCATTGGAAATGACCAATCGCATTTGCTCATTAAGCAGATTGACAAATGCGATTGGTCACTTTCAGTGAACTAATCAACGATTAAGTTAATCGGAGTTTGGTTGAAGTGGTCCTAAGACCGGAAACTGATATAGCGTGCACAATATTCCCTTTTGTACAACAGGGATTCCCGTATTTAATTTGAATAATAACGCCTCGGATTTCTGTGCTGATACGTGGGTGGCCTCGCGGTCATCAATGTCACACCTAATCTACGTCACTGTTGTGTATTAAAATAAAGTTACCATATAAATAGTCCGAGATTATGTTGTGTATATGTATATATATTTCAGTAGTGCGCGATGCTCGTTTTTATCAAAAAGAATGGATTTTACGATTGCAAGCCGCTTGTCAAGCATTACTGACAATCAAATTGCCGATGGAAATGATGGAATCAAAGCACGAGTAACGCAGACGTTATCTCCGTTCAATCCGACACTGGAACAGAATGTGTTGTCTTGTCAAACGTGCTTGGAAATTGTTGGCACCACTCTTTGTCTCTTTACTTCAAAACAAGTGTAGCTTGCGGCATGCATATGTATATCATGCGTCGCATTATACGATTTTTAGTCTTTTCGGTTTAGTTACCGGAGCCGAATCGTATCTTCATTTCGATGGCCGAAGATTTCTAACACCACTAACATACACAAAACATCTATATAATTCCCATTATATAATTTTTTGCAGTTTAAGGCAAATAAATTAGTGCTAATTATATCACGACATTTGCCTCCAATTAAGAAGCAATGTATTTAAAAATGCATTAAAAAAAATTTAGAGCTCTTGTAGAGGTCTTTGTATATAGCAACTTAGATATATTTAATTATATGTATAATTACATATCTTAAAACCAAATTTTAAGATACAATTGATGTTTTAAGAGACAATTTTGTATATCTTTGAAAAAAAATCTAGTAGAATAAACTGATAATATATGAACACTAGATTCTACTGGATACAATGAGATTACATGAATTAAAATGAATTTAACATGCTAAGATGTGTTTTACTTCGATATAATATTTTATTTAATAATATATATTTATTTAGTAATATAATAGTATTATTTAAATAAACATAAAATATTACCTTCGATAATAATATCGAGTTTTTTACACGAATATTTGATATAATTATAATAAATCAACAATAAATGAAAACATGTGATTAAAAATTTGCTGACAATGGATTTGCAATACTAATAAAGCTATATGTGTACAAGGTAGATGCGTGAATACATACGTAAGATGATTTATCAATTAGAATGTTTTCATGCATTTATCAGATAGAAACTTTAATGTCACAACCGATGATATAAATGTCGAGTTCAAATGTGTTGTTGTATCAACTTAATTATAAAAAATTACATGTATAAAAATATGACCAAAAATATATACTATTGTGGGATTATTTTCCGCGCCCGGTCGATAATCAATAATCGAGGATCACGTATCGAATGTTTTCGCGAAGTTGTGCGCGTCGACCGCTCCGATCGTTAACAGTCAGTCGGAGTCGTCGGAGAGGGCAAATCGAGCAATACAGAGCAATATGAAGTAACGTCGCGCGTTTGCTAACGAGTCGCGCGAGTGATCAGATTGTAAAACAGTATTAAGAGTTAAGTACGTTCGTCCGCGATACGAGACTATTCAACGAGTTATACGATTGGAATATGAGACAAAGTTAAGAGTTTATATTTGCATCATTTGTCATAACTTATATTTATTGCATCGTTTTGTCATAACTATTTGCCTAATCTTATAACTTGTTCAGAATAAATATTCATATAACGTTAATCATTTACTCCGATTCCACAAGCATTTATTTAATCTTACACTATTATTAAATAATAGAGGAAAGTCCCCTATTATGAGACAGGATCCTAATATGATATATATTAATAAGCTAAAAGACCCTGTATAGGCTCCATCTGTTGATCCCACCATGAAAAAACCCCGCCATCTCATATTAGGATCCCTATCTCATAATAAGGGACTTTCTTCTACTATTATTAAATATATTGTATAATATAACGAGAAATATTAAATCGAAAGCATAAGAGTAAGTTTCTTTTTTTTTTCAGGAAAATTGAATTTAGAAACAGGGAAAATATTTTTAAAACATAAATAAATAATATGTTTGTTTTATTTGCATATAAGATAGTTATTTATGCACGGAATGCAAAAAACTTATGGTGATTTTGTTCTGGAAGCTATTAAGCCGAGATTGAAACTTATTTGCATTTTGATATTGTAAGTATATTTTACATATATATGTAATGACGGTTAAAGGTATATTTATGTATGCTTTATATACTTTGTTAAAAATTATTATATATGTATGTAAGTATACAAGTGTAATCGAGATAAGCGATTAAAGCACAGGTAAAGTCGTTTTTCGGAATACATATTTCGATAATAATTATAGATACAGGGTGAAGCTAATTACATAATGAATTGCAAAATTACCAATTTTATCATGAGATTCGACCAGAGCAATGTCTTTTGTACCTTTAACACTCTGTATTTATTATACATGACATTTCCATCTTTTATTTACTAATTAGTTTGTTCTAATTAAATTTATTGATACCACAAAATCTGCAGAAACTGCTTTTTTGTCATTTTATTTGTATTCCGGTGTAAAAACATTTTTATACTCGGAATGAGAATAATAAACACGTGATATTTTCAGTTAACTCTTATCTGTACATGTTGAAGTTATATCTAACTGACAGATGACAACTGCAGATTTAAAGGAAAAAAGGATGTGAATATTTTCAGACATTGTATTTCATTTATAAATTAAGGCTCCTGTTCACTCGCTGCAGTCATCTTGGATTGATGACGTTGAAAACGAGAAAAATAAGTATCAAAATTCTTGCGACATTAAAATAAATATGTTTTTCAATAAGAGAGCGTTTGTAGAATAGACTTGTAAAACATATTGGACACTCCCCTTTTGTTTGGGTAATTCACGTACGTCAAATTGAATCAGTGCCTAATCAAGGATGAAAACAAGCCGTTTGGCAGCTACTAAATTGAAATAAGTATTTTGGTTTCACATATTGTCATATCTTCGAGGACGAGCGTGGCCTAGACAGCGCACTGTCTATTGAGCCAAAGGTCCCAGGTTCGATTCCCGGTAGAGCTAAAAAAATTATAATTGCTCGTTCTCCTCTCGAAAGACAATCCCAGTAAGCAAGAAACGTCAAGAAACATTTCAACTACATTGCATTAATGTTAAAACGTTGCTGTAATGTAGTTAAATAATGTTTCTTGGTGTTTCTTGCTTACTGGGATGGCAAACCACCGAGAGTATGTCTTGCCAAGAAAACATCTAAAAAATATAGCCGTTCAAAATCGGCGTTAAACTGTAGGTCTCATATATACAATGTGTATAATCTACGTGCGCAACACATGTATATGAAGAGAAGTCACCAAGCTCGGACATGAGTAATAGGATGAGGATGGGTATTAAATTATAACAAAATAGTAGCCTTCGGTATATTTTAACACTACAATTATTTTAAATAAAAAAAAAACACTGCATTGAAACGAAAAATGCGCTATAGGTCACAAAACTAATTCAGTTTTTTAATGTCATTTTTCGCGCCTTTTAGTTCACAATTTTGGTGTAACACCGTGTGTATATTGTCAAAGCGGACTTTTGGCAATCGAGCTAGCAGGAACCTTTAAGGTCTAGGCTGGGATGACCAATAGGGCCACTTTTTAATTTCATTATATAAGGCATCTCCAGGACTCTTAGTCTTCACAGCTTGTCGGTGACCTAACAATTTATAGTCAGGCGCAATTTTTCCGGCTCCTCTGCCTAACTCTATGAGCTTTTGCGCGGCATTTAATTGCGTTTTCGGCGGTACAACCGAAGTGAAATCACCGATAAACGCAATACCGATACTTTTGCCGTTATATTCTCCTGAATGGCCACCGACGTAATTCCAGTTTCTGCCAACATATGCGAGGCCGTCGCCTCCGACCATGAAATTGTAGGCGATATCCGCATAATCATTTTTTATCTGATTATTCTGGATAATTCTCAATTTGTTTGCGCACTCTGATTGCGTGGTACAGAATGCTGTCGCAGTGTGACAAATAATTACATGTGGTACTGGCAGCTTCATTTTTCTTAGGGGTTCCGAAGGTGGCCGTGCACCCCATTCATTCCTCTCGACAAGGCGAAAAGGAGTCTCTGTCCCGTTATTACCTGCAAGTCATGAAAATAAAATACATATCGTACAAAAAGTTCAAAATATACCATGCAGACTTTATAGTTAGAAACTCCTTAATTTAACACCAAATTTGGCAATTTCAATCAGACGCATATGTCAACTTTAACATTAAAATCTAAAATATTACTCTCATATATAAGAACCCTTACAAAAATATTTCACCGTTTTTACACCTCACATAGATCGTTTTTAGCCCGTTTTTAGCCCGTTTTATCATTTTTATGTCCGTTTCTTGCACTCTCAAGCACGCGCAGTCTACATGATGAGTATACGCGAGTATGCAATCGTACACAATCCGCTTTAACCACTCGTTTTTAAGCAAAAGGGCCCCTTTGCGCCCCAAAAACGGTTCGTACTCATTGCCAAATGCACGTTTTTACTACTCAAACTGACCGTTCTCGCGGTCCAAAAACGGTGAAAAATTTTTATAAGGGAATGCAAAAAGTTTTAAAATATATGACTCGTGGAAAGTAAAAAAAAAGACATGTTTTTAAGTAAACGAATAAATGGAATAAATACAAATATATAATGTAGGAGACAGATTTTAAGTTTGCAATCGTGATAGATATACCATTTGCTTCGTGTCGCGCTTGCATAACAAAATATTTTCTAGATGGACAATTACCCTCGGTAGACGAGTTTGGAATTTTCGGTGTGGTTGGTGTGGGTGTTGCGGGTGGTATGGTCCATGTAAACCGTGTGGTCGGTTCGGACGGTGCGGGAGATACGTCAGATTGATGTGTAAAATGTACAGTTATAAACACTATAATACCCAGAAGTATTAAAGCTAGAACGCACGATAAAGCCGTATGCCATTTCCACGTCCAGAGCCATTGCGTCACTAAAATAATTATAAAAAGCTATATTAGAACAATAGTTTTACGAGCTACTTAATATCGTTTGATGAAATTTATTCGCAATTATTATAACGGGTAGGAAAGGATCACTGTGTACGAAAGGAATATTATAATTACATAAAGCGTAAAGTATTATAATTCTTGTTTGATGTCACTTTTCTTCTTTTATTCACAATCGAGTAAACAATTTGCGGCATGCAATATCTTGCCAATCGAATCTATGTAAGATAGCGTGACACATATATACTGTGTGATAAAAATAGTTCTTTTATATTTAGCTTTTATTCTTGTGGCGCAACTAAAGTGTAACAATTTTCAATCTAAAATATCGTCGATATTAAAACTATATTCTGGAATAGTTGTGACAGGACCATTAGTCAAAGTAGTTAATGATATTTGTGATATATCGGCTGTTCTTCCGAAAACGTTCATGCTCTGGTTTAGATCAAAGTTTGTAAATAGTTCATTTTAGATAAAAAAACATATATTAAAAGGTATTTTTTTCGACTCAAATAAAGTTTTTGACATCGACTATTTGTTAGTTTATCGGCATTAGATTGACGTCAAATCGATTAATCATTTGTAGCTAAATATGTACGCAATACAAAGTGTTGAAATGCTTAAATATAAAACGTAGAGAAAAGAATTTGATTCTATGATGTCTCTGAATTTACCAAGTAATTATTGCGTTCTACTAATGTATTTAAAATTTTTAGGACAAAGTATATTTTCTTTTATAAGGAAAGATATTAGAGTAATGTCTTGTTGCGATAATATCGATAAAAAGTATCTATATTATATTCAACTTATAATATACTTAGTATATTTATATATTATAATTCAATTTTAAAAATCGCGATTTATAATTTTTTATATAAAACTGTTGTTGAAACTTATGAGAGATCTGTTCCTTTTAGTTATCCGGATTTTATGCTTAAACGTACGAAAAGAAACAAGTATAGAAAAATTATTAAAAGCAACGGGCTTAAACAATCTATTGCGTTGCATGATTAACTATTACCTTTATTTAATTTAGTATTTTGCGGAAAGATGCATCCGTTTGGAGCTCCGTTGTCTTTACTCGTCGATAAATCCGATGTATTGTTGGAGGCGCGGCTCGCATCCTGATTCGGAGTAGGATTCGTGTAAACAAACTGCTGCTTTAAAGTAATAGGACCATTGTAGCAGGTCTGGTTAACAAGATGCACATTCGTCGAGTCCTTCACGCGGACATCGCCAAAAATCGGCTGATCAGCGTTCGGTAGAACGACGTCCCCATTCGTGGTGGCGAACGCTGGTTGCTGCTGAACGATGGTCGACGATACCGGCAGATTCGTGATCCATCCGCCCGCGCCGCCTTCTTCGACATCCGTCTCTTCTTCCTCGTCGTCGTCGTTTACGTCACTACACTGTGTAGAGGAAACTCCAATGCTACCATTGCCCGGAGCGACGACCGTGGTTTCCCTCGCCGACCGCTCAGTCTCGCCGGAAAACCTGACGACCGCGTGACTTTCGGCAAACGCAACAGTACTATTCACGTGATCCTGCTCTCTTTTACTCTGGTGATCACCGTCGAGCGCTTGCTGTTGCTGTTGCACCAATGCCACCGTATCCATGAGCTACGCGAAAAATTCACCTTCTTTATATCGGATACGTCATAAATGCAATACGCCGCATGCAGCAGAATTAATATGCTCGTCGAGAAATAGCTGTCAGAGTCCTTAGATATTTATGTTCGTCAGGTCGCCACGAGATCCTTTTTCACCATTAGACTATAATAGTCTCTTCTTTCTCTCATATCAGATAACAATGAAAAAATTAGTTTGAAAACGTAATTCTTTTTTATTAATATAGGATTTTTTTAACAGTTTAACAGTTTGCGAAGAACTACGCCTTTTATTTTAAAAATTTTTTCAAAGGTCGTCGTTTGATATATTCAAGGCACTCGAGTAAACATTTTTGCCAGAATAAACATTCTGCAATTTTGTTTATATATAAATTTTGTTTAGTTAAAAAGAATTACTACGTTTTCGAGTTCTCCTTGTAATATTTACAAAAGAACTTAGATATATACTGAATCATGCTTAAAGTTTACTAATTGGTGAAACCGATCATTAGTACGTTGAATAAAATCGATGAGGAATGTATGAGTGCGTTTCTAATCGACGGCTGTCAGATGTGCCTGTTAGGTCCTTATTTCATAGAGCAATAGAATGCTTTAATCAAGAAAATTATGTTGACAAAACGTAAATGCACAAATTTATAAAATCAGTGATCGTGGAGCAACATTGCAATAAACGGCAATGATAAGAAGCATAAATAAATTAAAATAAATGGTTAGAACCTTTAATAGATTAAAAATTAAAATTCAATAAGTCAAATATCATCTGGTATGGTAAATTTATTCAAACTTTCTCCGTTAATAAAACAAGGAGAACTACACAGTACACAAATGTGTGTTAAATGTAACATAAATCACACGTCTCAAACAGTCCACTCAAATTTTTGTTATTTTAATTTATGGACATCGATTATTTTAACATAATGTAAATATGTCAAATTATGACAAAAATATTATGTCCATAATTTAACACAAAATAAATAAAAGTTTAATGATATGTGAACGAAAATTTTATGTACAACAGATATCTGTATGTACAATTTATATATATAAAGGAAGATGTCCTGACTGACTCACTGACTCATCAACGCCCAGCCCAAACCCCTGAACCGAATTTTTACCAAAAGTATATGAAATAGGAGTAGAATTTTCCGGGAAGTGCCACTATGTGTACAGTTTTTTGTTACCGATTTTCTGAAAACCGGTTTTTTTAATTCTTCTAATTTTTCGGGAAATAATTGACCGAATCTCAAAGAATTATAGATCAAACAGGGGTAGAATTTTCCGGGGAGTGCTATAAAATGTATAATTTTTTGTTACCGATCTTTTTGGAAGCCGGTACCAAAATTTTTTCAATTTTTCCGAATTTTAAAGAATTGTATAATGTATATGAAGTAGGAGTAGAATTTTACGGGGAGCGCCATGATGTGTACAGTTTTTGTTACCGACCTTTTTGGAAACCGGTTTTTTAATTTTTCCAATTTTTCGGGAAATAATTGATTGAATCTCAAAGAATTATACATGAAGTAGGGGGGTAGAATTTCCCGGGGAGTGCTTTAAAATGTACTATTTTTTGTTACCGATCTTTTTGGAAACCGGTTCCGAATGACGAGAGAGAGAGAGAGAGAGAGAGAGAGGGGGAGAGGGGGAGGGAGAGGGAGAGAGAGGGAGAGGGAGAGGGAGAGGGAGAGGGAGAGGGAGAGGGAGAGGAAGAGGGAGGGAGGGGGAGGGGGAGAGAGAGAGAGAGAGAGAGAGAGAGAGAGAGAGAGAGAGAGAGAG